TGGATGGATGCGCAATCTACAAGGCTTTGGATTGGACATAACAATTTTAAGAAGCAAAGTCCGGCTGAAGACTTAAAATTTAGCGCTTCTCGGGAGGCAACCCGAGCATTTATCGTTTTTTTTTCTCTCATATTTTTCGTATTTTTAGTTGTTTTTAATTTTCTTAGAATATATATAAGCGTGCAATCTAATAATTTAATCATGTTTGAATTTTTAGGTCGAAAAACGGACACAAAGTGCCCAGACGGCCGTCCGAAAATCAAGTCAAAACCCCAGACGGCCGTCCGGAGAAGTTACAACGAGTTGTGAACCTACAGTTTGTGGGACGACCATCCCAAAAACAGTGCAAAAGGTGGGACGGCCGTCCGGAACACCCCTGAATTTTTTTATTTTTTATTTTTTTTTTCCGAAAAAAAAAAAAAAAAAAAGGTGTTTGCTTCAAAGAGGAAGAGATGGAGGGGTGCAATACGTGGAGGACGTTTCGAGTAATCAAGGTGTATCCTGACCTTAAACTTCGTTTTAATTACATTGAGGACAACGTCAATTTTAAGTTTGGGGGTGGAAAAACACTTTTTATGTGCTTTATATGTTTTAGATTGCATCCTTTAGGATTTTTCTTTTTCTTTTTAGTCGTTTTCGTTTATTTATTGTTTTCTAAAAAAAAAACAATTTGCTTGAGTCGAACGCATCGATGAGTTATGATGGTGAGAGATGATCAATGTTTGATGATGAAATTGCTTGTTTTGTATGATAAGGATTAGATGTTTGTTTAGCTTTCGATTCAACGGAACTTAGAAGCCAATTATTTCTAGGACTCACACTCTGTGCATTGCTTTGGTTGAAAGTTTTGTATTTTAAATTTGGAATTAATTTGTGCTAGATCATGCTATGTTCGGTTTTAAAACTCAACTTAGGAAATATATGATACGAAGTATTGAGTAGTGAGTGATTTGGGATATGATTTGGGCCTTCTTTGAACCGTTTGAGCCTTTCAAGCCGACTTTTTTATCAAAATTATCCTTAGAACCTTGATTTGAGCCTCGGAGAAAATGTGTTCTTTCTTTTAGCCAATGTGTATAAGGTAGAAAAGTGGAGATTTTTGAAAAATTACCCCTTGGAGTTCGGTCAAAATTTTTTATAAGGTCCCTCTTCTTCTTAAAAAAAAAATTAAAAAAAAAATAAAAAAAAAATAAAAGAGAAAAAGAAGAAGAATAGACGAGAAGGGAGAAGAAAGGACTAGTTGTTGAAATTATTTTTGAAAGCTCGATCTATTGCCTCAAAAGCAAAAGTGGAGACTTTTGAACTTTTGAGAATCGAGTTTATTAAAGTCCTTAGAGTTGAATTCATTGTTTGAAACGCCTATCTTTCAAATTTTGGCGTAATCACCTCAATTCAAGAATAATAGCCACGTATATCCATATTTCCTACCTGGAACCAAAGAGCCTAAATATTGAAAGTCACAAAGCCCCAATGATCCCAATAGCTTAATGTTCGATATTAGTAGAGTAGAATAATTTGGTGAGTATTTGGAGTCAATCATATGCATGTAAGTATAAATTCTTTCTATCTTTAATTTGCAAATATTGGATGCTTGAAGCAATTGTATGATTTATGGTTTTTGGCTATGGTAAGTGACTAAGTGCTTTTGAATTTTGAGCTTGTGAATGCCTAAGAATTTTAATTATAATTACAAGTTCTGAAAACGTGAAGTTGGTCATTAATCTATGTGATGAGATGCGGTAGTTGAGTAATTTGCTTATGATTAGATTTAGCTTCAGGACAAGCACAAGTTCAAGTTTGGGGGTGTGTTGAGTGTAGATTTTACGCTCAATACGTTTACTTTACGTGGATATTTTGTTTAGATTTAATTATATTTGTGCTTTAATTGATTGATTTTGTGTTTTATAGGGGAAAACGAGAATTAGGTGTCCATGAAGGAAAAAAGATCAAAAAGAAAGGAAAAAGTTGCAAATAAGGAAATAAATTAAATTGGAAGAATGAATCTCGCCACAGCTTTGGCAGTGTCCACCATTTCAAGCATATATCTGTCATACGAACTCCAAATCATCTGATTTTGGCGGCATTGGAAAGCTAATTTCAAGGGCTACAATTATTATTTACGCAACAGTCCAAAATTCGGACTCCAACATGGCGAAAATCGAAGAACAAGTCCTGATAGGGGAAAGTGGCGGAAATTGATTCCTATTAGGTTTCAACTACTTCCTTATCAATAAAAGCCTATAAAAGCAACAAGTCTAGGACGAAATTAGACACCACAAAACACGAGGAACGAAGATCAACGAAGACTCAAGCATAGTTTTTCTTATTTAATTTATTTATTTTATTTATTTTATTTTCTTTATCATAAGAATCACGAGTAGCTAAGTCTTTATTTCTAGGATTTTATTTTGAACCCTATGTGGGATTTATGAACTCAACTCTATGATTTTATGCAAGTTTTAATTCCGGATTATTTCTTCTACTTGTTTTATTAAGTGCATGAACTTGATCACCTTATGTGCTTTTATGTTATTGTTAATCGCATGAATCGGAAGATCGGGTTAATAATTAGAACTGTGGTAGAAGAGCCTTTGTGGTATTAACATAGGGATATAGTTAATCTCTTAGGTAGCCATTATTGAGATTTGTGCTTAATGTTGTGTTCTAGAATTAATTGCGTAGGAATACAGTGATTGAATCTAGAGTATTAGAATCGTAATACACGCGGAAGCGGGTTATGATTATTTTAGCATCTCAAGTTAATAATCCGGGTTAATTGCTTGCATAATTGAAGGAATTGGGGGAATAATAATCACATATGGGGGGAGAATAAAATCCTAGGCTTGTTTACTTTGATTGAATCTTCGTTTTAAATTTCTTTCTTGTTTTTGCTTGCTTTTTAATTTAGTTTCTTTTAATTTAGTTAATTCTCTCTAAAGTAGTCGACTGTGTAGGGTGGGCTTGATAACAATTGGTAGAATTTAGCGTCTAGGATTAAATAATTAAATATTCCCTGTGGGTTCGGTATCCGGACTTTTAGTCCACTATATTACTTGTACGATACGTGCACTTGCGTGTAGGTATTATAACCAACAGGCAGCTGCGGCGAAACAGCAGCATCGGCTAGGCGAGCTACGGCGGAGCGTGTGGCTCACGTGCTGTCTTCAGGCGGCGCGTGGGATTGCGTGCGGCGTCGGCTCGTGTGCTGCTCCTCGATTCTTCGAACTTCGATCTTCCTCCTCTTGGATTTCACCTCGTATACTTCGATCTACTAAATATGTGGCACTAGACACGTAATAGTTAGAAAAACGGAAGAATAAAGGAGGAAGTAATTACCAAAGGGATCGGCCAAGGGGTGGCTGATTCCGGCGAGTTGGCGGCGGCGACGGCGGTGGTGACCGCGGGAGAAGATGGCCGAGAGAGAGAGAGGGAGCGGCTAGGGTTTAGTTAGCGTGTTGTGCGTTGTGGAAGACCTATAAATCAAGTATTTATAGTGTCCTGCATAAAACCCTAACGGGCTTAAGTTGGACAAGGCCCAACAACTTAAGTTCGTTAGTTCTTTTACTTGCTCGTCTCTCTCAATTCGATGATCGGAAAATTGTAACAATTACATTTTCGGAATCATTATAATTTCCTCGTCATTACGAGTGCCAACTCTCAATTTCTAACTTTCTAAAAGTGGAAACCCTAATTCAGTGCACTTTCTAAATTTGGAAACTTCCCGATTTAGAAAGTCCACTAAGATGTTCGCCTATTCTTTTCCTTTTCTTCTTCTCATTCATAATTCCAAATTACGAATGTTGGATCCAATCATATTGACTTCCAATCATGCAAATATAAACCATTTTTATCTCTGACCGTTTATTCAAAGATCTCATGTGCACGAGCAGTGTGACCCTCGATGGTTCAGGTGTAAGCTAGCCGTGGGCCCACAACCCTTTGTGGTCACAACACGTTGCTTAGAGTTACGATTAAGATGAAGCTCGTTTCACCTTAATCACCCAACGAATCAAGATTGGCGTCTAGCAACTACGCGTCATGATTCCCTAGATATAAATGAAGTGCCTGCAAGAACTTTTTGATATAGTTAGCGTACAGTACGATCCCTTCGATTCATATGTCCCGATTGAACTAGAGGCATTGGTTCATCGAGACCGCTTTATTTGTTCAATGACGGTGCGATTGTTCTAAGTGTTGTAATCGTTACGTGCATGACTTAGAGAATCGAATTCTCTAATCATCACTTAGTCAGCTCTGGCCAGAGACTTAGAGAGAATACAAAATATAAGAACACACAGGACATCCAAGACTATTCTAGCGATCGAATCCTCGACTACAATGCACAGACCTCTCACTAGATTTTGGAATGCACGAACACTGGCCCTTGGGATGGACCTCGGTGAAACTCAGGGACATGTCACGATACAGCTGGTCCTCTAGTGAAGTCACGGTGATGTCTAGGTCATAAGGACTAATGGTGTACAACTATACCATAGATATCTCTACTCGATTATTGGGAACCACTTAGAGATTTCTAGGGTGAGGGAGTTCAGTGAACTCGTCAACTTACGAGCACCCACTTATGCATGCCGATATCATAATACCGTTTATTGATGAGATGCAATACACATACACTAAGTGCTATTGTCTTAATGAGAAAGGTCGATATCCTCATTGGTGGCGTAACCCTTCGACTAGTAACATGTTTAACAGTTATAATACTTAAGTAAATATCTCACGATCCTAACGATCAACTACTAGTACTTGTAATAACTGTAAGGACTATATCTATGCTTGTGACGACAAATATATAAAATGCCAAGGTGTTTTATCATTAATACGAAAAAGGTTTGTTTATTACCATAATAAATACGAAAGACCACAGCCACATGTTGGCTTGTTGGTCACATACTCTAACAGCTTTGGCATTCACTTTAGAGACCCACCGGTGATTAGGTTAAGCTTTCATCTTCCGGACAATCATGCTGTTGTGTTTACAGATAATGATTCATTAGTTGATGTGCTGAACAGACCGATTGCGAAAAAAACGATGTTCCTTGTTTGGTTCCATGCGAATAAGTTGTACCCTGAAGCTATCAATTTGAAGTATGGAGAGTTGCCACATAAATTTGTCTATAACGAAAAAGCTCGATGTTGGATGCCGAGAAAGATAGGATTCTCGATAGGAAGGGTTACCAATGTACCGCCGGGCAGTGGTGAAGACTATTACTTGAGACTGTTGCTCAACTTTCAAAGATGTTGCACGTGTTACGATGATCTTAGAAAAGTCGAGGATCACGTCTACCCAACTTTCAAAGATGCGTGCTTTGCGCTTGGACCACTAGATGACGACAATGAGTACATAGCTAGCATAAATGAGGCAAACGAGTGGGCCAGTGGTGACTATGTGAGACGATTATTCATCGTAATTTTGGTCGCAAATAATATGAACAGACCGGAACATGTGTGGGAGTGTTGCTGGAAAGAATTCGCCAAGGATATTAAGTACAGACTGCAACAACGTCTTACCAATTCAGGTATGAGAATACATCTTACATTTTTACACAATTTACTACACATGTTTGAATTAAAACTATATATTTTTAAAATCGCCACATTATGTTAATTTTTCATATTATATTATACTGAAGGTCCACCTGTGTCAGACGATACTCTGAGAAACTACGCTTTGATCGAAATAAAAAACATATTGCAAAGTAACAGCAAAAGCCTGAGTAACTTTCCCCCAATGCCGATTCCAATTGGGTCGATGACAGACGCCACGGTAAATAGATTAGTTCTCGACGAGTTGGACTATGACGTTGATGCGATGCGTGAAGAGCTTAAGAAATACCTTTCATCCATTACCGATGAGCAGAAAAAAGTGTTCGATGATATTATGGATGCTGTTACAAATGACAGAGCTGGACTGTTTTTTCTTTATGAGCATGGAGTAACGGGAAAGACTTTCATATGGAAAACTTTATCGGTTGTTATCCGTTCAAAAGGCGAAATAGTTATAAATGTTGTTTCCTGTGGTATTGCTTCGCTTCTACTTCCAGGTGGCAGAACTGCTCATTCGAGATTTGGACTGCCAATAATTGTACATGAGAGCTCCACATGCAGCATCAAACAACAGAGCTCACAGGCTGAATTGTTGTCTAGAACAAAGCTAATCATATGGGACGATGCACCGATGATGCACATGTACTGTTTCGAAGCACTCGACAAAACAATGAAATCTATACATGATTCAGATATGCCATTCGGAGGCAAGGTTGTAGTGCTTGGAGGGGACTTTCGGAAAATTCTGCCAGTTGTGTTGAAAGCGTCGAGACAAGACATTGTTCATGCTACAATCAATTCATCACCGTTGTGGAGACAATGTAAGGTTATGAAGTTAAACAAGAACATGAGACTTGAGTCGTCCTCCTCTTCCGCCAATGCAAATAAAATTAGAGAATTTGCGGACTGGATATTCAGAATCGGGAATGGCGATGCTGGCGAGGTAATTGACGGTGATGCAACAACTGAAATTCCCGATGACATGCTGATTCGGAATTCTGCAGATCCCTTTTTGGATCTTATAGAGTTTGTCTATCCCAATCTGGTGACCAACCTTTTCACTCCCGAGTATTTTGAGGGCAGAGTAATTCTTGCACCCACTAATGAAAGTGTCGGTTTTGTGAACGGTCATTTTTTGTCGATCATAACTGGAGAGGAGAAGGTTATTTCAGCTCCGATAGTATGTGCAAGGTGGAGTTATTGTCCGATGTCAACGCATAAATATACTCACCGGATTTCTCAACACCATATCATGCTCCGGAATTCCACCGCATAAGTTGACATTGAAAAGAGGTGTTCCCGTTATGCTCATCGGAAATATTGATCAGGCCAGAGGATTTTGCAATGGAACAAGGCTTCAGGTTATTAATATGGGAAAACACGTTCTCAACTGCAGGATTCTACCCGGTAAACATGTTAGTGATATGGTGTTCATTCCTAGAATGACTTTGGTACCGTCCAACTCTGCATTGCCTATTAAATTCCAGCGACGTCAGTTTCCGCTGATGGTATCATTCGCAATGACAATCAATGAAAGTCAAGGACAAACTCTTTCTTACGTAGGCCTGTACTTACCGAAACCTGTTTTCAGTCACGGACAGCTCTATGTCGCACTCTCGAGAGTTAAGAGTCGAAGTGGCATAAAGATTTTGATTAACTCGGAATCTGGTGACACGACCAACGTTACACATAATGTTGTATATAAAGAAGTTTTTCAGCGTATATGAAGTTAATTCTTATACAAAAAATTACAATATTCATTGACGACCTTTATTATCTATTATTTTTATGTTTTGTTATTCCTTATTTGCAGGTTTATTTTAATTGTACCAGGAACATGCTATGGACTCCGCTCGCTATATTTCATGATGGTAATCTTTTTACAATGATTTAATGCCATTAAACAGTTATATTGGTATTGTTTTGGTAACAATTTACATATTTCGTGTGACCATGGTTTGTATTGGATTTGTTGCATGCGTTTAGGGCAGTTGGTATCAAACAATTCAAGTTTTCAACGTTCATGTCATTATGGTTGTACAAGTTTGGGACCAACTATATATTCGCTCTTTTGTATGCATAAATTAAAACCTTCGATGTTTAGGTTTTTCACTTATTTTGGCTTATTTCACCACTTACACCATACAAATTATTTTTATTTTTGAATATTTTCTACTTCTTTCTTTTACTTATTAACAATTAATATTACTATTTCGATAAACTTTTTTATTATTCAATATTTGTTTTACGATGAATACCCGGTGCATCGCACGTGTGTATTACTAGTTGCTTTATATTAGAGAGAGATAATTCTTTTCTATATAAACAGTATTCGTAAAAATCGAACCGTATAGAAATCATTTGAGAACCATAATTTCGTTTTATTAATTTTCTTGAATAAATAAGCTATATCTTTTTTTGAGTAATATACATTTTGTTGTACGAACAGAAAAAAATTGTATTTAAATTAATTAAAATGGGCAAAATTGGAAGACAAGGTTAATTATTGAGTAAAATTTGAAAAAAAAAACAGTATAGTGTAGTGTGTTCAGTGTGCAGTATTTGTTTGATTTCTTAATAGCACTAAAAAAGGTGAAATATCTTAGGTGCCCGTATACTATACATACTCTTTTTTTTCCAGTCCCACTATTTTGTCCTCCCTTACCCTCTCCTCCTTCCTTCCTTCTCCCATTCAACATTTTACAGGCGCCATCTCTCTCTCTCCTCTCTCTCCTCTCTCTCTCTCTATATATATATCTCTCTCTCTCTCTCTCATCGAACCTTCCTTTGCGGCCTCCGCAACCACCACGCCCTTCGTCGTCCTACATAAGGTCTGTATTTTCTCTCTCTACTTTTTATCTCTCTCCCTCTCTCTAGTTTTTTTTTTCGCGCTGCAACCCTTCAATCGCATTTAGGTGTTACGCTGAAAGATCTTAAATTAGATCTGCTCTCGAAATCGAATTAAGGTTTTAAATGCTTTCTATACGTTTCTAGAAATTAAATTTAAGTTGGATCTTTTATTTGATTATCCCCCTTCCTTTTTCCCCCAATTTTCTAGGTTGTACAGGATTTTTTTTTTTTTTTTTTTTTTTTAGGTTCAATTTTTTTTTTCCTTGACAGTAGTGGGTTTCATTCGTTTTAGTTTTTATTTAGCTTAATTTTTGTTACTGTTATATGAATTTTATATGCATGTGATTGATTAGGGGAATTTATTCCTGGATTTGTATACTTGTTGGAAAATGAACTGCAACTCCCAGGATACTTTCAGCCACTTGTTTTTGAATTTTTACGAAATTTGGTTGTACTCGGTTTATGTCAGGGTAAATTTGGTGTCTTTTAGATAATCGTACAATATAAACTTCGCTTTTATCTTTCAATAGTTATGAATTACATTGAGGGAATCTATCTTTTGAAAAGTCCATATACTGATGATGCCTTTAGTACTTAGAAAGAATTTGTTTAAGCCTACTTTCCAGTCAAAACATCTGTTAAGAAGGTTTGCAAGCTTATTATAAGATTTCTAATAGTTTACATGAAACATAATTTAAGATGGGAGCTTATAAATAATGTGTTGGGAACATATATTGTCTTCGAAATAAGGATTCGTATAAGGAGTGAGATTGACAGATTACCCTCGCTGATAAACTCGTAGAATCCTGCGAGCTCTAGGAATTTTTTTTCAGATAACATCTTATAAGTTTCACACCTGAGTCAAACATCCTTAGAAATATATTTTTGAGTTGTAAAGATTGTTGGGACACGGCTACTGTTTAGATTTGCCCTCCCGTATGAATACTTTTATTATCTTTGAGTTCAATTCATTTTTCATATCAATTAATGAGTGAACAGTCGGTGTGTTAATGAAGATATTATTTGTTCTGCTCAGAAATTCTTAATATAGAAAATGGGAATGGTTATGGATGGGCTTGCTATTTATGCAAGAAAAAACAGAAATGATTCAGGGGCATGCAAAAAAAAATGTTCATGACTGAATTAAGCATTTATGGAAAATAGGACTCGTTCCCAGATGAAAATTTTGACCTTTTGTAAATATGGCAATTCATATGAACTAGCTGTCCATTGAGGTCATTTTCTGGATACATTTTTTCTGCGAGGAGAAAGGAAACTGTTTTACAGCTTCAGTGTAGAATTTTCTTCCACTCCTTATGTCTTGGTTTATACTAGCATCTGGTCGTTGCTTTATTGTGTCTATATGAACTACACCTAACTTCATTGGTGGTACATAGTATACTGAGATTGTGTTTATATATATATGTAAATTTAATTTTGTATTTAACAGTTCTTGATTTTTTTTTTTTGCTCAGGTCTTGGCTTCAGGTTGAGAAGCCTGCACAGGATTGGCAATTAACTTTTCGGGAAAATTATGATGAGATCGTAGTTTTTTTTTTTGTGTTTTCAAATATAACTTGTTTGTAACTGGTGTATTATGGATAGGAGTGAAAAAGAATTCCAAAATTCAAGTATTTGGTTCTTTATGTATAAAATTTAAGCGTATCAACGTCCCACAACTGACAATTTGAGTGTCAACCATCTATGCCTGGCAACGAACTTGGAGATAGGGTTCACAATTTTTTTTCACAAGACAGTTCATTGCAGGGGCAGCATCATTCACAGACCGTGGAAGGGAATTGGCCAGAGCTAAACGGGAGTTTTGGTGTTGGTAGCCAAAGGCAACTTGATCTATTAAATTCTAATAACAAAAATCATAATTCACAAAACTCAGGTAAGCATGGCTGCTTGAGCTTCACGTTACATACAAGATTAATTTTTATTTGGACATTAGTTTCTTTACTAATGGTTTGATTTCTTTGCCATATGTTATCTCAAGCCCCTTAATTTGACACTCGTTAACTGACTGAATATTTCCTCTGTTTTCATGAGCAGACATAGATGGAGGAGAGGGCAGCTATCCCCTTCACATGACACATGGCTTGAACTTTACTCAGTCAAATCTGAGACCTGATTTTGCTAGAACCCCGACACTGAACGAACAGCCAAATTTGAATGGCTTCCTGTATGGAAATCAGTTTCACCAGACAAGACAGAATGAAGCAAACTTTCTGGCTATGGATACAAATTCTGACCAGCGTCAGTTAATGACCTCAAGAGGCTTATCTGTCCCGGACCATCAGGCAAATGCTTCATATCCTGTCAGTTTTGACCTTTTTGGTGGTCAGCAGAAGATGAGCTATCAGCAATCCAGCATACCGCAATCTTTGCAACATCAGCAGTCTGGGGTAAACGACATGCAAAAACTGCAACAACAACTCATGATCAGGAAAATGCAAGAACTTCAAAGGCACCAACAGCACCAACAACACCAACAGCTAGATTTAAGACAACATGATTCGGTTAATCAGGTTTCCTCCTTTGCTAAACAGACTTCTGGCAACCAGTCGAATTCTGAAACATTACAGTACCCTTGGACAGCTGAGCATGGTATGAACTGGCTGAACCAGGGTACTGCAGCTGTGCAACGGTCTCCGAATAGACTTGGTTTTCCACCCAACCTTGCCCAGACACAGCGTTTTGTGGATTTGGGGCCAGAGCAGGTCGATCAATCTCTTTATGGGGTTCCTGTTTCTAGTTCAAGGGGTTTACCTGTGAACCAATATTCCCAAATGACAACAGCTAGATCTTCAATACCTCAAATGTCGATGTCTAGTAATTATCTTCAGGGTAATCAACATAATCTATTGACAGATCAGACAGGTGTACAGGAAGAACCTTCTACTCATAGACATAAGTTTATGAATGAAAAGGTATTTGGACTTGCTTCTAGGCAATCTCCAAATTCTGGGATGAGAAATATGGGGGGCCTCCAACAAGTAAATTCCATGCCGAGAAATACGCCTCAGCAGGACCTAGCTGTTCATCCGGCGACCTCACATGAAAAACCAACTAGACAAGTTGCTTCTCCTCAAAGTGAAGTCGCACTAGATCCGACAGAAGAAAAGATTTTGTTCGGCTCAGACGATAATATATGGGCTGCTTTTGGTGAGGTCCCTGATATGAGTGGAGAAGCTGGTAACTCATTCAATAATGGAGGTGTATCGAATGGTTTACCTTCTATTCAAAGTGGTAGCTGGAGTGCTCTTATGCAATCAGCTGTCGCTGAAACTTCTAGCAGTGACATAGCGCCACAGGAGGAGTGGAGCGGTCTGAGTTTTCGCAATAATGATGGTCCTTTGGAAAGTCAGTTACCTTCTATGCGTTCGAATCAACTTGTGGAGAAGTCTCAAAATGAACCTGGCCAAAGACTGCTGAATGAGCTGCCTCAAAGTTCTTTCCCATCTGTAGAGGAAGCTGGCAAGTGGTCCAACAGCAGTCCACTACAAAATTTAGTTGCAGAAGGCGGTCCGACGTATAGAGATGCCTCGCCACATCCCCTCCAGGCAGAGAGAAATGCTAAAACAAATTCTCCAACTTGGATCCCTGGACACACTGGAAGTAGGCCACAATCAAATGGCTGGAATGCTCTGGCAGCTTTACCACCTGGTGGAGATAGGGTGACAAATACTCACGGGGCTGAGAAGTTGCAGCAAAATTCTCATAACAGTCAACCGAGGGTGATGCAAGAAGTGGCTCATGGAAGTTCTTTATGGAATTCAAATTCTGTTCCTAGTTCTTCTACTGAGTTTGGTCGAGTAAATTCCAGATTTGTCAATCCACAAGCAAATCAGATTAGTTTGCAAGATGCTTCGGTAGCTAACTCAAGTAATACAAGAATTAGTAATGAAACCAGTCCACGTGTTCAAAGTAATTATTTATTTAATCAGTGGAAGAATGCTCATCCTGCAGTGAGGTCCAAAGGTGGTGAAAATGTAGGGAGACTGATGCATCAAGCTAATGGTACCGATCAGGTTTTAGACTCGATGGATAATGGTGATAATGAGGTGGATAATGGTGATGGAAAAGAAAATTCTAATGATAGCCATCGTTCAAACTTATCTCAGCACACTTCTGGTGGCTTCAGAGAAGGTGGATTGTCAGATGCGAGTGATTCACAATCTTTTATGACTGGGAAGCAAATGCCAACCAATCAGCTTTCTAGGAAGATTTCTGCTCCTCGAAAATTTCAGTATCATCCGATGGGGAATGAGGATGTAGAACCTACCTATGGTCTGAAGCAGCCTACCCGTGTGCAGGCCATGTCCCAGCAGAATGTCCATTTAGGCCAGTTGAAAATGTTTGGTCAGGTTTCAAGGAATTCTACAGCAACAGAAAAGGTAATTTATGAAATTTGCAAGCATATCTATGTACAAACTTGAGTTTGCAAACCATAAATCAGGGATTTTTTTCTTTTTTTCTTTGTCTACAGGGGCAGTCCTCTGAACTTCAGGAAAATACTAAAGGCCCTGATGAGGAGTCATCACGTGGAAACCTTTCTGGTCGTGTGCCTAATATACCTGTCCCCTTAAGCCGGCCCATTGATACATACATCTCAAACAATGCTTCTTCATCGAGGTATCTTCATATTCATTTTCAGAAGCAGTATCTAGAATAACCTAAAACCGTGCCATGTTTTTCTAATTGTATCTGTCTGCACCAGTCAAAACATGTTGGAGCTTCTTCACAAGGTAGATCAGTCAGGAAATCATGATACCATGATGCAGTTCAGCTCGTCCGAGCAAAATGCATCATCTCAGCTACCGGAATCTGAATCTGCTGTGGCTGGTCAGTCTCAAGGTTTTGGGTTACAACTTGGTCCTCCATCTCAAAGGCTGCAGAGTCGGGACCAGCTATTTTCTTCTCAAAATGGTCAAGGCACATTAAGTTCTTTGTATCCTAGTAGTGCTGCTGCTGAAATAGGAGATAAGGGCCGCCAGATGGCTCATTCATTAGAAACCCAGTTCAACTTCAAACATATTAGATCTGCAATTCCAGGGCATGCTGGGACTGAGAACTCTCTGTACAAGGCGCCTGCAAATTTTAATTCGTCATTCCTTTCTGGTATTCAAAATCAGAAAATGACAAGCGTAACAGAACAAATGTCTACGAATCAGCATGTAGACGCTTTCAATGGTAACGCCTCCTGCTCTGCACAAAAAAGTTCTGCAGAGACTTCCTTGCCTGATGCTTCTGGCAGCTTTCAACAAGGCAACCTTGCTTCTTCTAGGAACGTGTTCCAGCAAAGAGGTCCCACTGATGTACATGAAAGAGTTCTAGCAGCAACTATGCCGACCAAGGATCGTGAGCAGAGTTCTCAGAAATTTGCCATGCCTAACATTTCTCGACACGAAGGTTTAGCACAGAATACGTGGACCAATGTTCCTACACATCAGCATAACATGGGTGTCCAGTTTCAGCGAGCATCATCACACGTGGAGTCACCTCAGCCAAATATTGTGGAATCAAGTTCTGCTCCTTTGATGCAAGGTCATGTAAACTCTCAAGGACATGCAGATGGCGAAGAACAAAAGTTGAAGGAAAGCTCTGGTCAGCCAGTACCATCTGTGAAGATTGACCCAGTTTCAAACATGAAAAAGTCATTAGGAAAAGCGTCCTCCACTAATAACCGCGTCAATGAATCTCCTCCGAATCCTGTTTCAACACAGAAGGATATTGAAGCCTTTGGCCGATCTCTGAGACCTAATAGCTTCTCTCCTCAAAATTATTCCTTACTAAACCAAATTGAGGCCTTAAAGGATGGAGAGATTGATCCAAGCAATAGGGTCGCAAAGAGAATAAAAGGATCAGGTAACATTACAGATGTTCGCCAATCAGCTTTGGATCCTGGGCGGCAAAATGAACACAATGCCCTAGTTGGAGATACTTTGGGTTCAAGCACTGAAACGCCTTCTCAGGATTCTAAATTGCTAGGCTTCTCTAGGCCAGCTGACATCTTGCCAAGCAAGATTTATCAACAGGAAAACCAAGCTGCAAAGGATGTTACAGGACTTAGTCGGGATGTTTCTCAGACCTATCCTTGTAATGATTATATGACTTCTGTCGTACCTAATCATCCTAAGATTAGTCCCCAGATGGCACCATCGTGGTTCAATCAGTATGGAACTTTTAAAAATGGGCAAATGCTGCAAGTATATGATGCACACAAAGTCACCCCCTTAAGACCTGTAGAAACTCCTTTTACTCTCGGCAAATCTTCCAGTGGTTTGGACGTGCTTAATTCAGAGGAGAAAGGAACTGCTGCTCCCGTCGATGCATGTCAAATCATTAACAGCGATCAAAATTCGACTCCCTCGTCAGTAGTCAATCAGTGTTTCTCTTCTATTCAGTCATCACAGCCTAATGCTGTTGGGCAAAATCTAGTGAGTTCGCGTAGCAAGAAGCGTAAGACTGCCACTTCTGAACTTCATCCTTGGCACAAAGAAATATCGGAGGGTTCCTTAAATCTTTGGACTCTCAGGTAGCTTCATGAATCTTTGTTTTTTCTTCTATAGACTCATATACTTTATGATAACTAGTCTGCTGCTTCACTAATGAACCTCTGATATGGTCAATGATTGTGTTCTACAACTTTTTCTGTTTTTTTTAAATTTCTTTTTTTTTACTGTACCATCTATTTTTTGTAACCTGCATGAATTTACTGACTGCAGCATGGCAGAAGCAGACTGGAATAAAGCAGCAAACAGTCTATCTGAAAAGGTTTGATTGGGTTGCTAGATATACTTTTCCTCATTCTATTGATGTTAACTTTTGCGTTGTTCCCTTATCATTGCTTTTCTGACGGCAGGTTGAAGATGACGGGGTGGAACTATATGAAGATGGGCCACCATCGCTTAGGTCTAAAAGAAGGCTTATTTTGACAACACATCTTATGCAGCAACTGCTTCGCCCTGCACCAGCAGCTATTCTCTCTGCGGATGCTCGGTCTAGTTACGAGATTGTGGCTTATAGTGTCTCCAGGATTGCATTGGGAGATGCTTGCAGCAAAGTTTCTTGCTCAAGTCACTTGGATAGCCCTTCTGACGGCATGAACCTGTAAGAACAAACTTGGATATGCATGAAATTGTCGTTTACTTTGTCAAAGATTTTGTCTTTAACCTGTTCCTTTTTGTTAAATATACTCTAGGCTTCTAAGTAAGGGCAGATCATCAAAAAGAAATGGTGGTCATTATGCAGAAGTTACTGAAAAGCTGATGGGGCAAGCTAAGAAGCTAGAAAATGATCTCTCAAGGTAAAATTTTGTGGTGGAATTTACCTTTGCCTGAATTTTAAGATGGCAATCTATGATTTACCATGTTTGTCTTAGTTCGGATGTTTTAAATATTGTTTTATCGTTTTTGGTAAAGGTTAACTGAGTTTTAGCAGCATGCTTCAGAAAATTTCAGGAGACCCCTCGACAGCTGCCTCTGTCTAGTTGATGTATTAACCAGACAGCCTCTTACAACTTGATTTGCCTTTTTGAGTAGTTATTATTCTATATTTTAACAATTTACTGCATCCCATATTTCCAAGATTTACACTTTTAACGTTTTTACTTTCCAAAGAATTAGAATGAAAGCATACTGAAAATATACTCATTATAAAAACAAATGCAAACTCTCTATTGAAAATTAAGTTTCACAATGTGTGCAACATGCTACCATTGCTGCTTCACGCAAAGTTCTTTGTAAGGCCTAGGCTCTAGATTTTCTTGATTTGTGTCGAAACTTCAGGTGAGGCATTTCAGTATTTGTTTCATTTGGACTTCCTATTTGGTGAAGAAACATGTTACGAGGAAACTTGAAGCAGTTATTTGACCAAGCTATCTCTGCAATATCTTTATTACCTTTTTATTCTTGAAAGGGTATAACTTAGTAGTGTTATTTTCTTGTGTCTTTAGTGTATTTTCAGTAGGATATATGTATTAAAGTGATGAAAAGTCCACGGTTCTAAAGTTATTTCATTAAATAAAAAATTAGGTCAAATAAGTGACTTTTTCCCAGGATGATCGTAACCGGCTAGGTTTTTGATAATTAAGTTTGAGATGCCATGGTTCGATTTTGGAATACTAGTTTGCCAAGGAGTAAAGATGTAATTAGGTCCCGGGAAGACTTCGCAGTTTTGCGGTGACTTTTAGCGAGTCAGGTTCTGGATATTATTGGCTCTGGCTTGCTGATTTTTTCAACCTAGCAAGTCTGATTGTATTGAAATTTGAAATTATTGATGTGCTGCTAAAATAATTAGTTAAGTCATCCTCCCTAGCCTGATCGTATTTTGGGTGATCATGGAGCTTTATTCAATTTAAATTTATAAATTGACTTGTAACATACACAATAAAATTACTAAAAAATATTAAAAGTATTTCAGTTAATTGAGCTGATACTATCCAGCTGACTTAAGTCAGGCTTGAGCTCGACAGATTGACTATACAACTAGGTTTGATTACGTAGCTATACTGAACAAAAGTAATTGTCACATTTAGCTTTCATTAGTATTCACCTCAGCTTGCTTTGCAACCATTTGTTCAGACCTGTGGCAACGATACCTCTTGAATTTTGTCCTGCTATTGTCTAACTCCCGTATGATAAATGTCATTTTATTTGTTAATGAAGTGGGGGATAAAGATGTACAAAGATATGTTCTCAATTCCTGAGTTTGGACGCACATTGTACAATAGATTTCAAATCCCGGCTCTTAATCTGAACTAGTTTTTGGATTATCGTAGTAGATTCAAAATTCACTCTCTATGGAGTCATTTAATACCGAAATCCTCTCATCCAATCAAAATCCTTCAATCCAAATGCAATCCTAAAGAATTATTTTTTAGAGTTTTAGCAATATGCACGTGACGTTACTAATGTTACTAACGTCATCATAATTATATCTGTATTTATAGATTTAATCTTGACTGCTTTTATTACATATACTTCACTTGCTTCTTCACTTCTTTGGTCTTATACTTCTTTTTATTTTCTCGTGCGTCTGTGATTTTTCCTTCTCTCTTTATTTCGAATATTTTATAGTGATTTCACAATTTACGTTTGAGGTCGTATCTTGGTCTTTTCGACCCCTTTAAAATGGACATTCTGTTATTCAATTGCAGACTGGACAACAGTACGTCAATATTGGACTTGAGACTGGAATGCCAAGATCTCGAGAAGTTTTCAGTAATCAATCGATTTGCAAGATTCCATGGGCGTGAAAGTGACGTGACCGACAGCACTCACAATAGACCTATCCCGCAAAGATATGTTACTGCCCTTCCCATGCCTAGAAGTATTACCGATACCGTACAATGTCTATCACTATAGTATTTTGATTCATCGTAAATTATCTATCTCCAATAGTTTCCGACTGAACCCCACAAGAGGATGGAATTGCCGAATGTCTCCTCCTCCTTATAATGTGTAAGCCTGTTTATTCTTTTTTTCAATTTAGGCCATTGATACCATTCTTGAAGAAAAGGTTCAATTCATGTATGTATATCTTTTTGAATTTTTTTCAAAATGTGGTACAAATTCCTTATTTTGGCAGATGTGGGCCAATATAAGTGGCCCCTGGTATGTCATATAATATGTTAGGTAGAGAAATTTATATAGTTGCAAATGTTGTTGTTGCATGGTAATCTATTTCCCTTTTCGGGTTATATGCTTTGAGCTCCGACTTGTAATAATTGATCGTCGCTGACTTGTAAACTAATCTAGTCGAGTTTTGGATGAATCCAGTCGTGAAATGAAAACTATATTTCGACACTCCGAAAACTGTTTAACATGTACATTGCTTTCTTGCTGATGTTTGAATTGGATAGTTGAGAAGTACTAGATTTGAAAGTTTGAAGATGGGGGAAGAACAGAGTTAAGTTGTAGTTTGGTGAATTCGGGATTTTAATCAATGGTGTTCGAAATCAAATATAAAAAATAATGTAACTAACAAATATTAGAAAGTTTAGAAGATTTTTGATTTTATGATAGATACAAGTTACAAGTATATCGATTTTCATATTTTCTAAAATTTTTTAGTGTGCGACATCAAAATACAATTTAATACTTAATCTTCATTTTTTATTTCCTATTATTGTATTGTTTTGGAGCAATATTTATGAGCCCCTAAAAAATGATGTCAACTTCAGCACGAGAAACATATTTAGTGAATGGCAACCAATGTTTGGTTTCATTTCTATTTCACTTTTATTCCTTCTCGTAAACAAATTCGTTTTTGTTAAACTTTTCAAAATAATAATAATAATAATAATAATAATAATAATAATTTCAAAAACTTCTCTCATTTCAGACATAGTTTGACTGTTATAGTAAAAAAATTAACTGCTATAATCTTCACTAAAAAATAAAATAACATCACTTTATTTTTCAAATTATTCTTCTAAGAAACAATTCTCCAACATCATTGAACATGATTTGACTGTTACAATGTAGTTTGGCTAATCTAAAAGTATAAATAAACATTTTTTTCACTTTCAAATTATTTTCTCAAAATATATTTCCCGAAAATAAAATGAAAATAACTCCCAAAATGAATCCAAACAACCATCTATTCTTTGCTACACCAGGTGAAATACACCGAATATATCTTTACTATTCTTATACATACAAACATACACACACATTGATGTGTAAATCAACGGTAAAAAAAATCACCCGATGTAGTCTCCACCGGGTGCAGCATAAAAATAACCAAAGCTTCACTATTATGAAAGACTCTAGAGATCCAAGAATATCATGTATTTATTTAACTATTTACCTAAAAAATAATATAATATAAAAATGAAAAATGAAGAATAACAGTAATTAATACTATAACCTAGATGTGTGTAGTCAACAGAAACTTTGCAGGCACAGAAACAAAGATGGCTTCGCAATCAAACGATCCCAGGCTACCATCGGCGGCGCGTCCCTTCAAGCAGCCGGTCGTCGCCCCTCAAGATCTCCCCGTCGATTACTCCGGCTTCATCGCCGTCATCTTCGGCGTCTTCGGCGCTATGTTCAGGGTTCGAATACAATCAATTTCTCTTTCTCTCTCTCTCTCTCTGGGATCTACATTAGTATATATCAACGATTGGATTTGATTTTTTTTTTTTTTTTTTGATTTTTTTTGGTTGATTATTTACAGTACAAGGCTTGCTCTTGGCTCGCAATCATATTTTCGGCGCAATCGCTTGCAAATATGAGGAATATGGAGAATGATCTGAAGCAGATCTCCATGGCAATGATGTAAGTGTTCTAACTTCCTGTTTCATTTTCCCTTTTTCTTTTTTTTTTTTTTTAATCAGCATTTACAGATTCATGAAGATTTACATGAGTGGTTTGTTAGTTAGTTTATAGCTGATTACTCCCCAAGTGATATTGATTTCCTTCATTTCATATGTACAAGACTTGATCGATCCTTAGGTTTTCCGGTTTCCGATGAATCCTTCATTTAGAGGTTATCGGTCCTATGAGAAAGTCAAATAGATCGATAAATATAACCGGTATTCCGAGTAATTACAAAGGGCGTTTCCGAGCAAGTAATTCACATACGTAGAAATTTAATTCGACTTTAGGCAGTGGAGAGACAGCCGCTCGAAATTTATGAAAACAGGTGGTAAAGCAACACGATTAAGTAATGAATTGAAAATCATGTAGGCGAATTGTTCCGAGGAAGAATAGTTTGATGGTATTATATTTTTGAAGACTAACTTTATCATTTCTCGATAGCAATTTCAAATCGTATATCTAATAAGCCTTGGCTGCAATAGATGTTCACAGATATTTGCCGATCACTTTTCCCACTGTTCGCTTCAGCTTATTGACATATATTACTGCACTGTAATTTTTAGATGATGGCCTCATTCGCATGATTATTTTTCGATCTCTGATAATTTTTATGTTACAATGAATGAATTTGTGATGATTATTGCTGCAAACCAGGATATCTAATTAAAAAAACTGTCTTCTTCTGGCCTTTAAATGCATTTCCTCAATAGTTTTTAACGAGTCAATTGGGATTGTGAGCATTAGACTAGGCGCATAAAAGAAACCTCTGAAAAATGATTGGTCTGGACCCTTGAGTAATTAGTTGGTCAACCAATCCAACTTGGATTAAGACTTTTGCAGTATACAAAACTATCAACTTCACGAATTTTATAGAAAAGTCAGTGGTATATGTTTGTTGCTTACTTTAAAACATCTTTTTTTTTTCCTTAAAATTATGCGGCGTGTTAAATAAATTTGTTAAGATATTCTGTTGTGTTTGGCTTTCCATGTTCGTTTATCAAATTAGTTTTTGTTGTCCTAAATTTACCTGTTAAACTAAAAAAGGATTACATGAAAAGGAATCAACTTTTCTGCATCATTTCTTGTATTTATGTATGGTTGCCTATGTTAGATAGCATATTAGCACAAAGCAGACGAGACATGGAGGAAATAATATTTCCATTTTACTCTCATTTTGCAGAACTTTTTGACTTCTTCCGCTATTTCTGAAACAACATTTATTCAGTAGAGCTAAATACAATATTAGGACGTCAATTTGTTCTTGATCCCATATATGCCATAGTTCCCCATTATCTTGATCCAATATACTTGTGGAGTTATCTAGGTTTGCGATGAGAATGCACTAACTAGTTTGAGGTGTGTTCCGCCCAATTCAGTATATTTCTGTTATTCGTAGTTGAAAGTGTCGGTCTTTGACCAATGAATGATTTTTTCAATGATAGTGTTGTTATTCAGTTTTGGCCCGTATTTTATCTATTCATAAGTTGTTGATTTCAAGATACTAAACCTGCAACCTAATATTTATAACTCGTTTTTTAAGTTTTTGGGTCTCATTGGACCGTAGTTGGGAGTGATAAATTTGGAGCTTATCATTATATAGTGAAACTAGCCTTCAACAACTGCATTATTTATTTATGTGACTAGAGTTCATGCATTCCTTAATATTACCTCGTTTGGGTGTGTACACAAAAGTTGTAGGTTTTCCCACATGAATTTTAAAACATAATTGGTTCCTTAAGTTCTTTACTTGAAGCTACCGAGAATTTGTTTATGTTGTTTCCATGAAGATCTATAGTTTCTGCAAATTTATGGCCGACTTTTAGATTCCTTTTACATAAATAACATATTTCTCGTTCTAAAAGCTGATATTTTGTTCTCTTGTCAAATGGAAAGTGATATATGAATGTTTGTCACGCACGCTTATTGTTACCAATGATGTTATTTCGTACATTAATAATATTCATAACGATAAATTTTTTAGTTGCATGAAAGATTTCAGGTTTTCGTTTCTTATATTGGTCCGTTGTCATTTGTTCTGTATATTTTCCACTAGTAATATTTATTTTCTCGTTTTTTGTATACCAGGTTTGGTATCATGGGTTTGGTGACAAATTACTTGGGGCTCGGGCCTCGTCCAACCCCGAAGAAGTAGAGTATCGTAGATTTTGATTGTTGAATTACGGGAAAGCTCAACTCTCTTTTTTTACTCATTCCGCCACCTTGTTTGATCTTTGTGAAACTACTGCTATTTCTTTTAATTTACAATTTCACTTTTTAGTGTATCATTTGAAATAGTTAGTTGGAAACGGTTTCATATGTGACAGTGACATATTGGCTCTTCTTAATTACACAATTATTTGTCTCAATTGCATGACTTGCAATTTCACTTTTTACTGTTTCTTTTAATGTTTTTGTCTTGTAACATGATCGATGATGATGGGGCCGATTAAATTAGGTTTACTGGTAAGACAAATATTCGTAAACACGATCCCCAGTTTTTTGTGTAAACTTATACGAGTTATGCGTATTTCAATATTCAATTACTCCCTCTGTTCCATAATAACGGTATCTTTTTAAAAATATTTTACAGGGTTAAATATAAAAACACCCATGTACTATGTACTTTGTATTATATACCCCCTGTACTACACATAAATACAAAAATCCCCCTACTGTTATATTTTTTCCAAAATTTGACAAAAATAACCCTCTAAGCCTATAAATATAAGGGATTGTTTGAACCATTTTTCATTATATTTTTTAACATTTTCCGTCAATTTTACTTGGGAAATTTTGATATTTTTATTATTTTTCTCCAAAACATTTAATTACTTAGATTTTTTTTTAATTTTCTGAATAAAACCTTTTATTTTTATCATTTTGAATTTCTTCATTTTTTTTCTTAAATGTCTTCCGGTAGTTCAAATTCTCAACAATCATAGGATTGTAAAGATGTTTGTAATCTTAGGATATTTGAACTAGCGGAAGACATTTAAGAAAAAAAAGAACTCAAAATGACAAAAATAAAAGGTTTTATTCAGAAAATTTACCAAAATCTAAGCAATTAGATGTCTTGGATAAAAAAATATAAATACCAATAATTTCCACGTAAAATTGACTGAAAAAGGTAAAATATATAGTGGAAAATGGCACAAACAAACCAATATATATATATATATATATATATATATATATATATATATATATATATATATATATATATATATATATACTTGAGTAGGGGTATTTTCGTCATATTTTGAAAAAGAAATGTAATGTTAGGGTGGTTTTTGTATTTACGTGTAGTACAGGGGTTATATGATACAAAGTTCATAGTATATGGGTGATTTTGTATTTAACCGTATTTTATATTATTTGTCACTTTACATTTCTAATACTGCATTAATTACTTAATTTCCAGTTTATATCCTTATTAAATATTTCTGATACTTAAAAAAAAAATCATTTATCTCTCTTCTTAATTATAAGATAAGGTCATTTTAGTTTAAAAGCATACATTTTTTTATAAAATTAAGACACATTTAATGAAATCCTTAATTCGTTTGCAAAGCTAAAAAACGACTATTAAAAGAGAATGGAGTGAGTATAAGATAAGGTCATTTTACTCCATATTTTCCATGTTTGCTGATTTCAATTTCATGACACTGTAGAAATTGAACTTAATGACTTTTTCCAGAATTGCATGATTAGCATTTTTGGATGGCCAAATCTAGCGCACTGGCTTTATTAGGGGTGGTTTCGGTACGATTGTCGAATATTTTGATCAATACTGTATACCTACCTAATTATATGGTATTGAAATATTCGATACCGTTACCGTACCAACAATTGCGGTATACCGTTATTCGGTACACCGTTACTTTCAGTACGGTATATCGGTACGTGGTACTCTACCTTTTATTTTAATTTGTTATACTTTGAAGATATAAATTATAATAGGACGATATTTATAAAAACACAACACTTTAAACAAGAATATTGGCTATGTATATGATCTTATTCATTTTTTCAAAGCTCCCCGAATATTTATTAAACTTCAACTTCACTGATTTAGCCACACCTTGTAAAATAAGATAATTAGAGTGATGGATTTTCTGTTCAATCTCAATTTGTAGCCCTACTATTTCAGTGAAAATCAAATGACACTTTTTTGTTGCACTAAACCTTCAATATTGTCTGATAAATAATTAGGACTGTCTTTTAACTTTTTTAAGTTTTGACCTATTTATTTTATTCAGTAATTTTAATTTTATTAAATTAACCAATATAAAATAAATATATTAATTAAATTATAAAATTCAAATTTGCGGTACAATATGATATTACTATGTTACATAAAATACAATACAGCTACCGTGCCGTATAATAGTGGTACGGTACCAATACCGTACCAAATTTAGTGGTAATCTAAGTTTCGATAATTTTTTGGTATTGTTTGATAGGTATACCATGGTATTCGGTAGGCGGTAATTATTTTCCATTCTTAGACTTTATCGTTGCATAAATTGCAATATAGTGTTAAAATTTTGATTTATTTTTACTATTTGAGGCTTATAAAATTAAACTGAAATGATTGTTTTGTTTTGATATATTTTTTTGTCTTTAAATTTAAAACATAATTTATCGAATTTTTGCAAAAGAAAAAAACAATCGAAATTCAAGTGTTCAAGGCGAACTCGGTATACTGAGACCCCGTAGAACCACGCAAATGCGATAGGCCGGGTTCGCCTGGAATCACATGAACACATGCATTTTTTGTGTCTCTTAATTTTTGCCGATTTAGGGTTGTTCGTGTAAAAGTAGGCGAACGGGTGGATTGAGTTCGTGTGAAACGACACGTACTCAGTACACAGTTGTTTGTCTACTTTTACACGAACACTTAATATATATATATATATACACATACATATATATATATATATATATATATATATATATATATATATATATATATATATATATATATATATATATATATATATATATATATATATATATATATATATATATATATATATATATATATATATATATATATATATATATATATATATATATATATATATATATATATATATATATATAACTTGCAATACTAATTTAGTTTCTTTTTGGTTAAATTAAGATGGCAGAAGGTAGAGGAAAATTTTTAATGAATCAGGTTGCCGAAAAAGGTAAGAGTTAGATGAAAGTTTTGGGTGAGAAGTCGAATAATCCGAATGATCCGGATCACATTAAAAATCGGGGAGTTCTTGCATTTGGGTGATGGAAAGCGATGACGAAAGAAAAAGCGAAGCGATGGAAGCAAGGAGAGCGAGAGAAGAAGTTATTGCAGTCAGAGTCGCGCGTTCTCTACCTATTGCTGATGATCAAAAGGGTCGGTTATGTTGTACTCCGTTGTAGAATGCGTACAACGATGACGAGGAGATGGCGGATAATGTCGAAAATTACAGCGACAATGATGATGATGATGATGATGATGATGATGATGATGATGATGATGATGATGATGATGATGATGATGATGACGACGATGATGATGATGATGATGACGAGGCTAAGATGGTTGTAGCGTAGGAACCTGGAGGTCGTGGCCTAAAATTTCCGCAATTGGATGGTCCACCGTATTTGGAGGGTTCGTGCGAGGAAGGGACATACAATTTGAAGTTTATGTGTTGGTTCAAAGTGCATATATAGGTATGTGTTTGGGATAGACATGTAAGTTTTGCTTTAATACGTTCTTTATATATATTTTAATAATGTGTTTTTTCTATCTAATATATACAATTTAATTTAGGAGCGTCGTGCTACTAGACGGTGCAAGTCGAGATTGAAAGCACTTGAAGCCTACCGCAACTCGTAAGATGACATGATGATTTGCAGGCTGGAGGCAATCATCTTTATCACTTACGAGACTGTTGGCTTCCCAATATGAATTAAGCCTTAATGTTATCTTTCGTGGAGAGGTGGCAGTCGAAGACGGACAACTTCCACGTGTCGTGGGGAGAGATGACAATCACGCTCCACGGTATTTTTTCATCATGGGTTTGCCATTGTACGGTCCGTTAGTTGCAATAGTTCCCCAAGCAGAACAGTGCTAACAAAGTCTTGCATCTCTGTTGGGCCTCAGTGTAAAGACTACAAGATCCATGTTTAGAGACAATATAATTAATTGGACTAAGGTGCAAGAGTAGTAGAAGAAGCTGACTGGCACGACCGAGAAGAAGATGCAAGGGTATATGTGTTTCCGCTGGGGGCGGTTTTGTTTGTGGACAAAACATCTTCCATGTTGAAGCCGTGGTGGATCCATTATACGAATGATATCGACACAATTGGCAACTATTCGTGGGCTGTTGCTTGGTTAGCAAACATGTATCGACAATTGGGTATTGCCAGTCGCGCTGGGATGAATGGACTTTGTGGGTGCACAATTTTCCTTCTGGTAATTATATTATTATTATTTATTTATTTTGTGTATAAATTAGATGTTTTTAATACGATTTGTGATTTTTTTTGCAGTGCTGGATTTTTGAGTGTTTTTCTTGTTTTTGACCGAAAGTTTCACCGACATATATAGAGATCCAGCCTAGCTGCAGAATGTGGGCCTCTGGTGGAAGTTGTAGGAAGAAATTGCAATATTATCGGAAGCTCTGAAAGAGATGTGTGTTACTTGTGATACATAGATGTGAATTGAAATATGTTTTTCCTATTTTTTTACCAAATTTGTGTAGGTTTATTGAACCCCATACGAGGCTAGTGCACATTACCAATGTCCTCCTACGTTGTACTATGGAACAACACATTGCATGGAGATAGTGGAACCGTACATGCCATACCGTGTGTTTCAGTAATTTGGAAGAGTCCATAAGATCATTTTTTTATATTATTTAATCAGCTGAGCTGCACCACCGTGCTATTTATTCTGCGGGCTAGTGGGACAACACATATGCCAACTTCATTGACTTATCGCAATATGATGAAGCATGGCCTCCTGAAACAGTTAATCTGAAATATATGAAGTGGTATGTGAGATGTATACACCGATTTATATGGAACCGCAGTTTCAGTTCTTCTGGAAGTGCG